GGCATCCTCGGCGTCGCCGGCGCCCGGCAACACCGGTGAGGGAGGGCCCCGCACGCGATGTGGGCCGGAGGGCTTCGTCCTCCCCTCCCCCCCCCCGTCCCCCGCCCCTGCCGGCCCTCCGGGGAGCGGGCCGCCGAGAGGGGCCGGGCCCGGGACCGGCCCTGGGAAGGCGCACCAGGCCAAGCTCCGCGTCCGGCCGGGCGATGTGGTGCTTTTGCATGCCATCGTGAATGCGCGAAGCCCGGCACATGGAGTATGGGGCGCGTGTGACCGGTCCGCCGGGTGCGGGGCCGGCTTCGTCGCCGCGCATCTGCCGGCGCGCCGGCCCGAGGCCGGCCCTGTTGGCCCGTCTGCATGCGTGTGTGGGCGTGTGTCTGTGGGCCCCCCGGCGCGCGGCTGCTGCCCGGGGTGGGGGGGGGGGCCGCCACCGGCGCACGCGCCCCCGGAAAGGTCCGGCGCAAACCCAGCGGCGAATGGGGGCCGGATGTTCTCACCGCCATGCTCGCCGTGCGGGCGGGCTCGGGGGTCCGCGTGCGCCCAGACCCCCGGGCGCTGCCCCCCTGCCCAACGAGCCCCGCTGCTGTGGGCATCCCGCCCCCCCCCCCCCCCCCCCCGCGCCGTGTGTCCCGCCTCGCCGCGGCCCGGGGAAAGCGAACCAGGCTAGTGGGCGGGGCCTGTCAGGCCGCGGGGCGGCCACCGTGGCCGGGACCGGCGGCCCGAGATGGACAGGCAGGGCCTGGGGGCGCCCGCGAGACGCTCTACGGCGACCGAACGGCCGAGGGGACCATTTTATTTTGTACGGGCGGACGGCGAGGGGGGGGGGGGGGGAGAGTGCAATGGCACACACCCACACCGCTCTCCCACGTTCCCCTGCCGCGTCCCCTCGTTCCCCCCTCGGGGGGGGGAGCCGCGCCCTGGGCCGAGCCGCCCATGTCCCAGGGCCCAGGCGCCCCCGGGCGGCGCGCCTTGGGCCGTAAACAATGCGCGCCGCCCTCGTCCATCGAGGGGGGCGGTTGCCGGCGGCCCGGTGCGCAGGGGCCTCCCCTCGCCCGCGTCCCCCCCGCCCTCCCCCC